AAATCTTTGCAGTGGTGGTATCTAAATAGAGAGTAGGCCATCTTGGGTCCTCTAGATAGTTAACTGAAAGACCCAGTTCTATTATCATTTGAAGCTTTCCCCCTTTACTTTTATAAAAGAACAGCTTCTAGTCTCATTGTGGTATTGTAATTAAACAACTGATGAAGCTAGCCCTGGAGGAATAGGTTGTCTGCTTTTTTTTCTAGTTAGCAGTCATTCTATATGTTACCATAGGGCGAAGATGCAGTAATCTTGTCTATTAGAGCATATGCTAATATAGTGCTGATAAGGAAGTGTGAAAAATGAAAGCGAGAAATGCATTAATTGTGTTCTTGCAATAAGGTAAGCTATCAAAGGTAATTATTTCATGACAGTTTTAGTTATAGCACTTGTTTTATCATGAAATAAAAGATAGCTTTAGGAGCCTCTTATTGGAAAGACAGTTGTATCAAATTAGTACCCGATTAGATTTTTGTCTTTATAAAGGTGAGCAAACCCATGAGCAGTTTTTAAATTGGTGTGTTCTAGTCCTCAAATGAACAAATTCTGTTTGAGGGTTAAAGAAGCTATTATTCCGTCCTTTATGCTGACAGCTTCATTACAGATTGGCCTACTGTTGGCATTAAAAAAATGTTTGGCTCCTTATGATCTTTGTGCATGCAACTCTAATATTAATATAGATCCATAGCACCGTTCATTAAGAAATGACTTTAAATGAGGTTGATGCATGTAAATTTGCAAAGATACAGATGTTAAATGCAGTCGTTCCTCTCTGTATACAGCTGTGTGGCTAATAATTTTCAAGTGCCTAAAGCTCTTGTTAGCAAGAGTGCTGGTGTGTTAAGAGTGGCCCTATCAATAACTTTAAGAACGGAAGTTGAAGGTGCTTCTTTTAAAGGCTATTGTTAACTAAACATTATTGCCAAACAGATGGAAAGCATTCACCAGCCTGATGTTTTTAGGTCTAATTATATTATCACCAACCCTGTATGGCTCAGTTGAAGAGGTGTATCCAGAGGCCAATTTATAATCATTTAGCCAACACCTGTTTGGGAGAAATTGACAGTCAAAGGGCACATTTAAAAAAAATCACATATGTTCTTGTGTTTATTGCCTCAATGTGAACAGTCTAGTTACAAACAAACTTGATAGGAGAAGAAAGTGAATGTAAACAAATGAATATTTCTTAGACATTTTTATATATCTCAATTTTGTGAGTTTTTATCCTGTGTGGCTAAATGAGGCCAGCAAAATGATCTCATTCCCGATTTATACAACCATATTCTCTTCATTTAATTAACAGATTTCTGGTAGAAAATACATTTTTTCCCCTATAGTTACGTAAGTAGAAGGCCAAGTAAATTTTCATTTTAGTCAAATGAAACAATGTATAATAGGACTGAAATTTATTTTATCTAAGGTGGCTACACTATTGCGGTGAATGACTTAGAGAGGTGAAAGGGTTTTAAAAAACAAAACAAAATAAATAATATTTTAAGAGACTTTGCCTGCTATCACCCCCAGCTGAAAGTTATTTAATGCTCTGTTTAGGCTTCTGGGTGTCTTTCTAGCTCAGAGGAAGGCGCGTGTTCGAAACAATGATGGACTTTGCGTAAGGAGACCTGGCCTCAAATCCAAACTCTGCCATTTACCATGTGACCTTGGGCAAATCATTTAAACTCTCTAGGTCTCTTTCCTCCCCTGTAAAATGAGGGCATTAGACTAAATACTTTCTAAGGTCCCTTTGGATCCTGACTTTTTGTGGCCCAAGATGTGTGAACAGTTAGTCTCATTTTGTAGGTTATGTCTCTAGCATGCTTTGGAGTATCACAACTAGTGATGAGGGTAGCTGTGGGGGAATCACAGATGAGATTCCCAGCTACCTTCAGTTTTTGTTGCTTGACCTATTTCTTCCTCCAGTTGCTATAAATTCTCATTTCTTCCTTTAACTGCTCGACTTAGCTGCCTTTTTAGTTAGCAGCTTCTGCTCTTCTCTCTGCTGTTTCTCCTTTGGTGAGCTCATCCCCTGTGACCTCAAGTTTCTCCTCCACAGATGGTTGTCAGTTATTCCTTCTAGTTCTGATGTCTTCCTGCGCTCCATTCATGTACTTCCAGTTGTCTATTAGACGAGTATATTATCATGATCTTCATGATATATTATCATTTTACTTCAAACTTATGATGTCTAAGACCAAACTCGTTATCTCTGCCTCTCCTCCCCTAACCTGGAACCATTTGCAGTTTTCCTATTTCTGTCAATTATAATTCTATTGTTATTTTCCTAGCTACATAGACTCAGAACTTGGGTGTCATATTTGACTTTTCCTCTCCCTTGCCCTATCCCCTTTCAGTTGATTAAGTCCTGCTTTTTTCTCTTTGTAAAATCTTTTGCATCTATCACTTTCTCTTCATTTCCACTGATGCTGCACTATGACTTTGCACCTAGTTTATTGTAATAGCTTTCTAAGTGTGCTCCCTGCCCCTAGTCTATTTTGTTTTCCATAGCCAAATTAATTTTCCTAAAATACCATTTTAGCTTATTACTTACTCTTTCCTAAAGTCTTCTACAGTTACCTCCTTTGATAGTCCAGATGCTTTAGCGTGACGTTTCATGGCTTCTGTAATATGGGCCGAGTCTATCTTGCTAACCTCATTATATCCCAAAACAAACCTTGTGTCCCAGTCACATTATTGTTATTATTATTTAAATGTAAATACTTGTTCAGTTTTGCTACTTGCCTTTGCTCATCTTGTTTTTCCTTGAGTTGTGTCTTTGGAACCCCTTCTAATTGGACTCGGCACTTTTTGTCAGTACCACTCATTTGTCACTTAAGAATATATTTCTTGATATCATTATTTTACCTTTTTTTTAACTTTCAGGAATGTCTTAGATCTATGGTGTTATCTTTGTGTGGTGATTGTAAGGTCTTGAAGGGCAAGGACCATGTCTCATATTTCTTTGTATCATTCATAGTGTTATGCACATAGACAGTCATTAGGTATTTGTTGACTAAGTGACTATTATTACAATTGGTTTAATTTAGTTGTCTGAGGGTAGCTGGCATTGTCTTCTTCAAAACTTAATATTTTTATAGGAATTCTTTGCTCAGAAGACTGTTATTTTTTCTCCAAAAGACAAAAAATTAACATGGTATGTAATTTCCCTACTTCTCATTCCTGCTACCCTGTTCTCATCCATTCTATCTCTTCCTTATCTCTTTCCTTCATTCTCCTTTCCCCCAATTTTCCCATCACACATTCTATTCCAGGTGATACTTGTTTGATTATATTAGAATATTGAATATATTAGAAACTTGATTATATTAGAACATTCTACATTTGAATTATTGAGAGTTATAGAAATTTGAAAAATAAAGTAGTAAGCCATTCACAAAATCATTCTTCTTGATTTATAGTCAGTACCATGTAAAATTCTAAATTGAAGATATATCCCTAGAATTATGCTCATTCATAGATGAGAAATTAAAAATTAAATCCAGAAATTAGACCCTAGGTGGTACCTAACATAATACCTGTCAACCTTTCACAGAATTTGTTCTAAGAAAGAGACAAATGATTTAGGTTGTATGTCCACATTTTAATTTCTCTCAAGCAGGTGACGTGTATTGAATGGAAGTTACAGTCCAGAACTGGCTTCATTTGGGAGTTGGGGTGCCCAGTTTATATACCTTTTCAACAGGGGCTGATATCACCCTACTTCCCGACAGAGGAAATACCTCTTGTATCAGACCACTCCCATCCTTGGACTGTCTAGGCAGAAGAATCTTTCTGCACTCAAGCCTGAGCAGAACACAATGGAACTTCCTTACCTTTGATAAAATCAATTCAGGCTTGGGTTTGGGGTCTCACTGGGATAAGAAGATTCAATACAATCTCATTATCTGTAATGTCCTTCTAAAGTACTTTGATGGAAGGAGGCTGAGGGTGGGAGCTCTGAGTCTAGAAATCATTTTGCACAAACCCAAAGAGTAGCATTTAATAGGAGGTTAGAATACCAAGACCATAATTCAAGGGAATTCATGTAAAGGATAGGAGATTTGATTACATGAAATTTAAGAACACTTCCAACTCTTAGGTTATAAATTTCTAGCAAGCCATTATTTGATGATATATTGAATAAAATATTATTAACCTCCTGATAGTGATAAAAGGTACATAATGAGACAGACATACGTACATATATAAAGACACATGCATACATACACATACTCATATATACGTATATATACACATGTATGTATGTCTATACACACAGAGCTATTGAGGGAATTTGTTTTACTTGACTATGTATATGTATTACAAGGAATTTATTTTTTCTCTCTCTTTCTTACTTTTCCCAATAAGGTGGGGCTGGGAGGGAGAGAAAATACATTTCTCTTCATTGAAAAGCAATTAAAAGTAGAGAAGTGCTATAGATATGGAATGTTGCATACATTTTGCATAAACATACAAAAATTGGAGGGTGCTATAGATGTGGAATATTGGATACACTTTTAGATGAAGTGATTGTTGTGCTAGTTTTGCTTAATTGTTTTATTTTGATATGAGAGACCTCCCACCGGGTGAAGAGCTATCTCTAATTGGAATGTAAAAAAAATAAATAAAACTTAAAAAGAAAACAAAAAAACTTGAATGTTTTCTGTGATTGCTTAATCAGTTCATCATCAGATGTTCTGTGGAAGAGAAGAAAAATCCTGTTTAAAACTGATTTAAAAAAATTTACTCATGAAAGTTAAAAAAAATCCTAGACAGTGTAGTAATATTCCTGACATAGATTAAAAATTGTAATGCATCCTTAGTGGGGCCAAAATGGAAACTTTTTTGCATAGTCTTATCTTATGATATGTGGGCTATTAGGACTAGTGTGGCTATTCAGAATTTAACTATATCTCTTCTGGTTGTTTTTTGAAAATCCTATTCAGTGATATTTTATCTTATTAAAGGAAATACTAATTTGTTTTTAATAACCCCTTTTGTAGGTTTTACTTGTAATGGACACAAGGACACAACAGACATTCATTTTAAAAGTAAGTAGAATTAATGCATTTTTCTGAATTAAAAAATTGAAGGGAAGAAATGCTTCGGAAATGAAAAGTTTTATTTTTTATACACTGAATATTTATTTCATGTACTTTTGTTTGTTTTCTGCATTTGTTTTTCTTTTTGTAGTTTATTTTTGATACCCTCCCTCCAGATAACTAGAGGTTAATCTATACTCAAATTTATGTGAGAGTAGTGCACAGTGCCACACATTTGGAAGGGACCTCAGAGGGCCACCAGATTCAACCTGCATCTGAATAAGAATACTCTCTACGATTTTCCCAACAAGTAGCCATCCTAACATTTCTCAAAGACCTCCACTTGGGGTATAGGGAACCTGCTACCTCTTGAGGTAGTTCTTTCCACTCTGGGATGACCCTAATTGTTGGGAAATGATTCCAGACATCAAGCCTACATTTGTCTCCCTGAGACTTTTATACATTACTCCTAGTTCTGCCCTCTAGAGGAAAGTAGAATGAATCTCTTTCTTCTACCATATGATAGTCCTTTAAATGCTTGGAGACAGCTATCATGTGTCTGCTCTCCTTTTTTCATATATATTTTCTTTGTCCTTCCAACATTTCTTGTCTGGCACGTCATCTTTCTGATTTGCCTCTAACTTACCAGTGTCTTTTATAAACTATGAAAATCAGAAGTAAACATAATATTCCTGATGTGATATGAGACAGGAAGAGTATAGAGGTCCTGTTTCTCCTGGTCCAGGACAATATGAAGCTTATAGTTGCTTAAATGTTTTTGGCTTGCCATACCACACTGTTCAGTCATCTTGAAGGTGCTCACTTAAACCCTTAGATATTTTTTCAGGCAAACCACTGTTTAGTTATGCTCCCTGTGACTTGCACAGTTGATTTTTTGAACCCAAACATAAAACATTCCATTTAGCTCTATTGAAATTCATCTTACTAGCTTCGATTGAATATTCTAGCCTGTAGATTGATCCTATTGGTTGAGCTACAGAATCAAAGTTAAATGATACTTATGTAATACTATATTCAATGAACAGAACACAGTATGTAGTTTTAACTCATAGATTTTCCTTTCCTTATTTCTTTCCATGGAAATAATTATTTAAACAGGATTGTGAAGGGATAAGGCCTAGGATTGGGACTGGATCTGTGGCTAATTGGTGGAGGGATCTTCTAGATGAGAAAATCTCCCCTTTTCTGAAATTTAGCTTCTTTGAATTCTCTAGTACCCTAAGGAGTAAAATGATTTGGCTAGTATTACAAATCAGCCAGTATATGTCAGAAGCAGGACTTGAACCAGGTCTTCCTGGCTTGGAGGCCACCTCTCGTATTTGTGAGGACCATATGAAATTTAATCTGTGATCGTGATTGTAATTCTTAAGGGCCCAAATATGTTGCAGTTTAAATTGTTCCTATGATAAATTATGTATAGAAACAGAATATTTGGAGGCCAGATATGACAGATATAAAAATTATGAGGAGTATAGGAAGATATATGAAATGATTCTGAATGAAGAAAGCACAACCAAAAGAACAATATACACATTGACTGCAACCATGCATTAAAAGGTAATAAATTAATACCATATACTCAGAAAAGGAGGTAAAAGAAGACCTTCCACGAGAATAAGGATAATATGGGTATATGACTGTGTTGCAGTCACTATGAACAGCCTTTGGGGGTGGGGTTAACAATTGGTAGAAAATTGAAATTTGTAGACCAACAGCAATTTAGAACCATTTTTTAAAAATCTTGTGTGCTCCTTTTTCTTTTTCTTTGCTTGTATGTGTATGTATTTGTGTGTTTGTGTGTGTGTATGAGTATAAACACATTTTGTTGCCAATGAAAGCTAAAATAAAATTTATATTTTAAAAATCTTTCCTGTAGTTGTTTGGGAGCGTGTTATCTATAGCTCTGACTCTCAGTTCATTTTTTTGATGCCTACACTATAAATTCAATTTTTATTCTATTTTTACCTGAATTTATAACCAAAGGCATGGTTAAGAAAACCTTCCATTTGTAATTTAGAAGTGGTATTTGAAATGGATTGTGACAATACATCTCTAAAAATATATTTCATTTAAGCATTTGCATTGCATCTAGAAATTGAATAGATTAACTTTTTATTTCCTTTTCTAGCTACTTCCTATTTGGCTTATCAGTACAGTAGGTTATACTGATAAATACTGAAAACACTTATTTGAGAAAACATGCTCTGCTTGCTGCAGAAGGTTTCCTAAGCAGTTTTTATTCAGGGTGTGACCTCAGAAAATGGACACACCTTATTCTTGGAAAATACTTAATTGCTCCCTTGGAGGATACTCATTGATTCTGCAAAAAATAGAATTTGAAATTCACCAGCCTGGTCTGGGAGTGCCTCTTTTGTCTCTAGAATTTGGATTGATATAACAATGTCTTTTGTTTTAAATATACATACGTAAGTATATACATAAAATAAAATTTAAGAAAAGGTCATAGGGAAATAACTCAGAGTGTCATCCTGATGACTTAGTTTGAGAGAGACTCTAATAAAAACACTGACCCACGTAATTGATTTTAATGGCAGCTTTGTGCCATCTTCTGTTCTCTGGATTCATGCCAGATGCCATCAACAGAGCCTCCAGGGACCGAGGGGCATAGAGCAGCAGATGAGTGGTTTCTCTGAAGCCTAGAGTAACTTGGATAGATTAGTTTGGTTGATAAACACAGAGCACAGCAGGCTCGAAAGGCAGCTGAGGGTACAACTGACCTTTTTGTTCTCTGTCAGGGTCTAAGGAAAAGCAGTGAGTGCAGCAGGAACAGAAAGACCATCATCCCCCGCTGTGTGCCCAACATGGTGTGTCTGCACAAGTACATCATCTCTGAGGAGTCTGTGTTTCTTGTTCTGCAGCATGCAGAAGGTTGGTCTATGGTTTATATTGTTTGCACAGTAAAGAATATCAACCACTTAGCGTTCCATTCATGCTAATATAAACGTCCCCCTTACATTGACCTTACCTACCAGTTGTGTTTTAGTTTTTCTTATAGCACAGAAACAGAAGAGGTCTTGCCTTTCTATGGTGGGAGTTATTAAAGAGGGATGAAAAACCCAGATGAATAGAAGATCTTGTTCAAACTATAGTAACAGCCTTAAAAATACTTTACCACTTGCTTTCCACAGGAACAGATAGAGCCAAAGAGAAACATTAATTTAAGTTAATACTAAGAGAGCCAGGTTTGATTTTTGGCATTTTGATTTTGTTCTCTCATCTTTGCCAAGAAGATATATTAATGTTAGGTGGCTAAAATGAAAAGCATCCCCCAAAGAATTAATTAATTACCTCCGTGTTTTAAAAGGCAAGGATATTTGCCTAACACTTGACATTACTTAGTTATTCTGATCTAGATTTTTATTAATACAGCCAGTGGCGTCACATATGGGTTCAAAGCAGAAGCACATTGTTTTGCCTTCTAACTATTTATGAAATTTCAGCTTTTAGTAGAGGGAACAGGTGGCAAATAAAAAAAATTATGTTTTGATTTTTTTTTTGCCCTTTAACACCATAGTATAAGTAATTATTCTGCTTTTTTTTTGTAAATGAATGCAGAATACAAATTTAAATACATCTAATAAATATTTATTCTTGAGAAGTCTTCATAACGTAGCCAAAAGATAGCCTAATAGTTTCTGATCTTGCGTCATGGTTTTTTCCTTACTTAACTTACTGGGAATAAAAAGCTTTTTGCTTTTCTAATAGGTATAACATTTGAAATAAGACATTTTTTTCAATGAAGGTTTCATTCTGCAATGAGATCTCTTGTGATAACCAATGCAAGATTTTTGATAGGGGTAATAAACTATTAATATTGTTTATTATGAAGTGTAACACAGGATAACTACAGATGGAGGGAAGACCTCCATATGCAGTATTACTAGTAAATTCAGAAGGGGCTCCATGGTCTCTTAGGTATTAAGAGAGTTAATTGCGTGTGTGAATTGGATAACTAATTCACCTTTGTTCAGACATTATAGACAGCTTTTATCTGAGAATACCAGTGCATTACAGTCATTATTGAATTAGAGGTCATGTCATCTGATAGCAAAATACAGCCACCTCTGGTGTGGAACAAAATAACTTGCATAATGGTAATCCATAATAATTTAGAACAAGGTCACCAAGATGAATGTAATTATAGTCAATCTTCCATTACCTATTTGTGGATTATTCACTTTGTGGATTATCTGTGGCAAATACATACAGACATATACCTATGTGTGTCTGTATGTATATGTGTGTGTATATGCATACATATATGTTTTACTAATATGTTTCTTATATTCATTTTACAGTATTTTCATTTACAATGTATTCCCCTACCCCACTGGCCTCTTCTTTGTGACTAAGTAAAATAGGCAAAACCTGACTGACATTGTTACTCTATCTGACTGCATATGCAGCGTTGTGGACCTGTGTTTTATCATCTTTTCCTCTGAACAAAGATTGGTCATTGAGATTAATCTGAGTTTGGTTGCCCTTTTATTGCTGCTTTAATTTATATTATTGTAGTTATTGTGTATATTGTTCTCTGGGCTCTACTTTCTTTGCCATGCTTCAGTTCATACAAGTCTTTCTGAGTTTTTCTGAATTCCCTGTATCCAGTATTTCATGTGGTGCAATAATATAGCGTTACATTCATATACAGAACATATACGTATTCACAGTTTGTTCAGTCCTCAACTGGTGGGCTTCCATATAGTTTGCATTTTTTTGTTATCTGTGGTGAATATCTACTCCTGGTTTCTTTTGTCCACCTCCAACTGGCCACCCCCATAGCCTACTCATCCTGGAATATCCCTATTCAAGGCCCCCCCGCGCCCCCCCCATTCCACCCCTTCTCCCATTAGTGAGTTCCTTCTAGAACTTTTATTTTGTGGAAGGGCCTAGGCTGGCCCACCTTCATTTCCTCCTGGTTCTGGTCCTGACTTTCTTTAGACCTAAAAATCCATGTTGTCTTTCCCCATTAGAATGGAATTTTTTTTTTTTTTAGGCATTTGAGGTTAAGTGATTTACCCAAGGTCACATAGCTAGTAAGTATCAAGTGGTCAAGTGTTTGTTTTGAGGCTGGATTTGAACTCAGGTACTCCTGACTTCAGGGCCGGTGCTCTACCCACCACACCGCCTAGCTGCCCCAGAATAGAAATTTCTTGAAGATAGGGACTGTCTCTCTTTTTTGCGTGTGTTTTTATCCTTGGCACTTAGGGGGATGGTCTGCTAAATTCCTTTCTTCCTTCCTCCCTTCCTTCCTTCCTTCCTTCATTCCTCCTTTCTCTCTTCCCTCCTTTCCTTCCTTCCCTCCCTTTCTCCCACCATCTCCTCTTTCAAATATATCCACCTCCAGGGGGAAAAAGGTTATTTATTTCAAGAAATAAAAGTTGATTTTAATTATTTATAGAAACACAATTAGAAAAACATAGAGTGTATCTGGAAGCCAAATAGAAGCGACTTTGAGATTAGTTATTATTTTGGATTATCTTTACCATTCCTCTTTTCCATTCATGTAAATTAATAAAAGTTTAATTCGATTGTGCCCAAGTTTGGAAACTGGACTACTCTCTGCCCCTCCCAACATTCCCTGTGCTCTCTCACCTCTGGGCTCATTACTCATCCTGTTTCACCTGCCTGGAATGTCTTCCGATATTGCTTCACTTGTTGAATTCCTATATCTTTAAAATTTTCCTTTTTATTATTATGAAGTTGAAAAATATCAGCAAACACTCGTTATTTTAAAAAAGAGAAAAAAGAGAACTTCATATTAAGTCACACATCTCTACTTTCTCCAATGAAACCTCCTCTGATCCTACTAATGGTTAATGACCTTTCTCTTTGGATCTTACCTAGTACTTTATTTCTCATCACCCTGCTCATTATTGAGTTATCTAATGTCTTATATTATCTTTACTACATTTGTGTCTTATCTTCTCATTAGACTGTAAATTCTATTAGGGAAAACTAGCTAAACTTTGTGTGTTCCCTAATGCCTTAGACAGGGCTTTGTATATACAAGGCTCTTAATAATTACTGATCTTGATAATAATAACTCATCTTTAAATAGCGTTTCAAGGTTTACAAAATCAATTTCTCACAATACTTCTCTGATCTAGGTAGTGTCAGTAGTACCTTGTATCTACTCATTCACATTCAAAGATAGCACCATAAAGTAATAATATCATGTTTGTGTATTTGTAGGTGAAAAGATCAATATAACAATAGCTAGCATTTGTATAGCACTTCTAAGATTTGCAAAACACTTTACAAATATTTTCTCATTTTATCCTCACAACAACTCTGAGAGTTAGGTACTATTATTATCCCAATGTTACAGATGAGGAAACATGTTAAATAACCTGCCCAGGGTCCCACAGCTAGTAAGTTTGAGGCCAGATTTAAACTCAGATCTTTCTGACTTCAAGTCCATTGCTCTATCCATTTCATAACCTAACTGCCTATTTATAGAATTTATATTTTAAAATTTATAATATTTAGTCAGTACAATTTTACTCACAATATGTGTTCTTTTTTTAGTATTTTATTCTGAACTTAAACACAAATAAAGGATACTTCCATATAAGCAACAGGAGACAAAAAGATTTTATATGAAACTATGAATCTCTATTTTGAAAATACTTGCTATATATGTATGTATATATGTAAATGTATTCTATATGTCACTTTCAAAATTGTTCTGCTTATCTGTGCTTCACTCTGAACTGCCTTTTTGTGTTCTCTTCTGTGAAGTTAAAGTTCCCTTATTACAGTCTTTCCCTTTTCTACCCTTTCTTTTGCCTTATAACTCCTAACCCTGTTCTTCATTGTCCATTCCTTCCTACTCCTTAGTTCTTTTCAAGGCTATCCCTTCTTCAGTGGCTACCCTCTTTTCTCTTCCCTATCTCAACTCCTTGGTGAACCTGTTCAACTCTACACTAATCTTCTACAGTCTCACTCCTTACCTCCTTATCCCTTTGCTGATCATGCCTTGCCAAGGCCCACCTTAAATTTTTTCATCATCAGCTGCTTTTGCTCACGTTCAAGTGCTGCTGGAGAAAATCATGAAACTGTGCCGCCTGCGTCCACTACAAATTTGTGTTACATAATCTCAACTGGATCTTCCCTAATTGATTCACTATCCCACTTACCACAATGGCTTTTGTAAATGTTTTTATTGTTCCTCAAACTTCATATAGCACCTCCCCATTCTACCCTTTCAGTTGAGAACTTTGCTGTATATACTTCACTGGAAAAATTGAAGCTATTCACCTAGAGCTCCATTTTCTCTCCTCCTGCTCATCTTGTCTCCCTCAGATATTTTCTCTCAATATTTCCTCTTTCACCTCTTTCTTTCTCATGGCCCTTCTCTTTGCCAAGAAAAACCCCTTTCAAACACACCTTTGATCCAGTTTTAGCCTATTTTCTCCAGCATATTGTCCCACTATCATCCCCACTCTTTCAACTGATCTTCATTCTCTTTCTGTCTACTGGCTGCTTACCTGATGCTTATAAACATGACCATATCTCACTCATCCTTAAAAAAACCCAAAATCCTCACTTGATTTGTCCATCCCCACTAGTTGCTGTCTTATATCTCTCCTCTCTTTTGTTGCTAAGCTCCTTGAGAAGGCCATCTATACTCTTACCTCCACTTCCTCCTCTCTCTTCCAAACTCTTTACAAACTGGCTTCTGACTTTATCATTCAAATGAAACTGGTTTCACCAAAGTTGCCAGTGATCTCTTACTTGTCAGATGTAATGGTTCCTGCTCCCGCCCTACTCCCAATCTTCAACATTCTTGCCTTCTCTGCAGCTTTTGACACTGTTGGCCACTCTCTTCTCTTTGATAGTCTCTTCCCTCTAGGTTTTTGTGA